AGGGGTGGAGCACCTGGCACCCTCAGCAACAAAAGCAAAAAACTGTACTGAAGTTGTCAGATTCAACTTGGAAAATAAAACACCAAAGACCCAGGGAAGTAATTTGAATACTTAGTAAGAAGACAAATATTTGCTGACACATACCGTCTGCTAGCCTGTGGATGCTGAGTGTAGATACTTGTTAAATTTGAGCCTTATAAATCCCCACCCTCTGCATATCATAGAAAGCTCCTCCTACCCTTCTCTATTTCTTCTGACTTTGTCCCACTGTGTTAATTCTTGCTAAATTTAAAAAAAAACTTGCAAATTTCTCACATAATGCAAATTAGTGTCTAATAGGGAAGACTGACATAACAGTACAGTAACTTAAAAAATTATTTGACAATGAGATAGGGACCAAAAAAAGCACAGCAAAAGCTTCCTTGATTTTTTTTTTTTTTTGAGGGGACGGGGGAGGGAGACAGTACTGGGAGATGTAAATAAGAGGATCGCTGTTGGAAGCCAGCCCAGGCAAAAACTTCTCAAAATCCTATCAAAGAATAAGCTGGATGTGGTGTTTCACATCTTTAATCCTGGCTATGTGGGAAGTGGTTTGAACTCAGGGCCTCACGCTTTCTAGGCAGGCACTCTGCCACTTGAGCCACTCCACCAGCCCAAGGGCTTCCTTGAGAAAGTGATGTTTCAGACTGAAATCTAGAGTTAGCCAGGTAAAGAAAGGGTGCAAAGGCTGAGGTATAAGGGCTTCATATGTTAGTTACATTGTCAAGACTGTTGTAGATTGTAAGAATAAAGAGTTGAAAGAATAAAGTTGAAAGAATAAAGAGAGGGGAAGGAGAGAGTTGGATTTGTAAACAGGGACCAGATATTTTGTGCCCTGTAGCTATGTTCTAGATTGAAATTTTATTTAAAGGCAATGAAGAACCTATTGAAGGAGGTGATGCTTAAGTCAGTAGGTCCCAACCACACGATGTTGACTACTGAGTGGTAGCGGAGCACTGGTGGCTAAAGCCTGTAATCCTGTAATAGCTAATTTTGGAGGCCGACATTGGGAGGATTTCAGTTCTATGCCAGCCTGGCCAGATAGTTCGAGAGACCCCATCTCCAAAATAACCAGAGGAAAATGGACTAGAAGTGTGGCTCAAACAGTAGAGTGCCTGCTTTGCAAGTATGAAACCCTGAGTTCAAATTCCAGTTCCACAGGAAAATAAGACTACTGAGTGGAAGTGATTTGAGCGGTGGATGGATGGATGACACTGTTAAGGGTGGGCTAGCTACTCAGGAGGCAGAGATCAGGAGGATTGAGGTTTGAAGCAAGCTAGGGTAAATAGTTTGTGAGACCTTATCTCGAAAAACCATTCACAAAAATAGGGCTGGTGGAGTGGCTCAAGGTGAAGGCCCTGAGTTCAAGCCCCATACCACACACACACATACACACACACACACTCTCTCTCTCTCTCTCTCTCTCACACACACACAAAAGGGTGGCTGAAATGCCTGCATAGATAGTGATAATTTTTTTGAAGTTATTCAGGTGTCAGAGGAGTCAAAAACTAAATTTTTTTAAAAGATTCTCTCTGAAGCACCTAATGCTTTAGATTTGCAATACCGTGGATTTAGTCATAAATGTCACTACTGCTAATAATTGCCCTTACCTGTATGTGTGGCATGATTCTTGTTGCTGTTTTAAGACAGGTTATGCATGTAGCTGATTGGCCTCAAACTTATGATCCTCACTTGATTTCCTGAGTGCTGGAATTACAGGCATGCTGATACGGCTTTTTTACATAAATTACCAAATCCTCATTACTCCTCTACAAGATAGAAATTATTGCTAGGAGTTGGTGGTCACATTTGTAATCCTAGCTACTCAGGAAGCAGAGATCGGGAGAACTGAGGTTCATGGTCACCCCAGGCAAAATTACCCAACACAAAAGATGGGCTAGTGATATGGCTCAAATGGTAGAGCACCTGCCTAACAAGTGTGATGTCCTGAGTTCAAACCCCAGTACTGCAAAAACGAAAAACAAAAAAAGATAGGAATTATTTTCACCTTGCAAATAAAGATACCCTGAACCTCAGGTTAAATAACTTGCCCAAATTAACAATGATAATAAATACTGGATCAAGATTTTAAGCCAGATTCATCATATTCCAAGATCTATCTTAACAGCTACTCTAAAACTTCTGTCTAGGGGTGGGGGCAGGGGGGGAAATGAACCAAGCCTTGTATGCACATATGAATAATAAAAGAAAAATGAAAAAAAAATAAAACTTCTGTCTAAACAAGTATACAAATAAGATAAAAAGCCATTTAAAGAATAAACAGTTTTAGCTGAGGTCAGTGGCTCACATCTGTAATCCCAGCTACTTGGGAGGTGTAGATGAGAGGATTGCAGTTAGAAAGCCAGCCCAGTTTAAAACTTCTCAAGACCCTATCTCAAAGAATAAGCTGGATGTAGAGTTTCACATCTTTTAATCCTGGCTATGTGGGAAATGATAGGTGGAACATCATTTTTGTTGGCTCTGGGCAAAAATGTGAGACCTAATGTGAAAAATAACTAAAGCAAAAAGGACTGAGGGCATGGCTCAAGTGGTAGAGTACCTGCCTAGCAAATGTGAGGCCCTGAGTTCACCCCAGCACTGGAGGGGGGGAAAAGCAGTTTTTCCTATAAACATTTGCATTCACCTAAAAATATTTGAATGCCTAGTTCATGCTAAACACTAGGGATATATTAGACTTTAAAATGGACACGGTTCCTGTCTTCCTTGACTTTACAATTGTCAGGGAAGACAGATAATAAACCCAAACATTGCACAAATAAGTATAATTATGTAAGTGCTTTGAAAGTAAAACTGTAAGATGCCATGTAACCACTCACCATATCTAAGCTAGAGTAAGTGTAAGGAGTTTGGGAAAGTGATTCAGTTGTCACAATTCTGTCTTTTGGCTACCATTTTTTAATGATTTCTGATCTGTGTTGACCTGTGATAGGCAATCCCCAAGTCTTACCTGAGTCATTTTTAGTCCTTGCTGGAAAGTGGACTGTAGTTTTAACATGAATAACAGTCTCTTCTAAATCAGTTGATCATTTCACTCTGACATAAACACTTCATTTCCAACAGCATTTTATAGACCCCATTTTCTGAATTTGACCCTGACAACTTAAGCAGCTTGCCATACCTCCTCTAATTGCTGCAGAAATAATAGCCATTCCTTCTGGACTAAGCTTCTCTATGCCTGGTCACCTACAGGAAACAAATTACAACTTCATATGTCTGACAATATCTCCATTCCTGTCAGACAATATTTTTTAAATTATTTGTCATAACTGACCCCCTTTTCTTCTTAATGTGCCCCTCCTTCTTTTGTTGCAAATTCTTGGATTCTTGCTGTCTTTGCAATCTGATCTCACAACTTTTGGGGAGTGTGGTAGTAGGGTGTGAACTCAAGGCCTCACACTTGCTAGGCAGGCACTCTACCACTTGAGTCACTCTGCCAGCCCTTTTTTGTGTTGGGTATTTTCGAGACAGGGTCTCATGGACTATTTGCTTAGGCTGGCTTCGAACTACGATCCACCTGATCTCTGCCTCCTGAGTAGCTAGGATTACAGGCGTGGGCCACTGGTGCCTGGCTGATCTCATAATTTAAATTATATACTTGTATGTGAACTCTTTTTTTTCTTGAAAAGTTTTTTTTGTTTTGTTTTTTGGTGGTTCTGGGGTTTGAACTTAGGGCTTCATGCTTACCAGGCAGGTGCTTTACCACTTGAGCCATGTCCCAGCACTTTTTTACAAAAGCTTTTGGGAAATAGGCCATTGTATTTTATATCTTTCTATCTCCTTGCAGCTAAATTGGTAGTAGATAATAAATAGTTGATTTGATAACATGTCATAAAGGTTGCAGGGTAGCATGCTATCATTTACAAAGTGCTTTAGAAAACCATACCATTTGTTCCTAACACGAATCCTGGGGAGGAGGTGGAATCCCATCTGTAAATAGATATGGCTCAAATAGGTGAAAAGTCTTTCTAAATAGTTACAAAAAGAAAGGTATGCTACAAAATAATCTCGAAGTAAGCATCTTCCACATTTACCAAGTAAACTCTTCTTTAAGAAAGCCATTTCAAGCAGGGTGCCAGTGGTTCATGCCTGTAATCCTAGCTACTCAGAAAGCAGAGATCAGGAGGATTATAGTTCAAAGCCAGCCCAGGCTTTTTTAAGACTCTATCTTGAAGAAACCCTTCACAAAAAAGGGTTGGAGTGGCTCAAGGTCTAGGCCCTGTGTTCAAACCTCAGTATTGGAAAAAAAGGGAAGAAAGCCCTTTCTACATCATATCTCTTCAAATTTCCACTTAGCCACAGTGTGCCTGTTTTCAAACATCACATGAAAATAATTGCTACCTTTGACATGGAATTGTTGAAAATGTTTCATATCTACACTATCCAAGAGGATAACCATTAGTTATGTGTGACTGTTTAAATTTAATCAAAGTGTAACACCTAGTCCCTGAACACTATCCACATGTCAAGTGATTCATGGCTTACAGAACAAGTCCATCATTTCAGAAAGTGCTATTGGACAGTGTCATGCTTGAGCTGTGATTAGCTGAAGCTCACAGAAGTTGAAGAATGAACTGAAAACACAAGCCAGTGGCTGGTTTTGTTTTGTTTTGTTTTGTTCGGTACTGGTATTTGAACCTGTGGCTTCATGCTTGCTAGGCAGGTGCTCTAACACTTGAGCCACTCCGCCAGCTCTGTTTTGTGTTGGATATTTTTTGAGATAGGGTCTCGTGAACTATTTGCCCTGTCTAACCTGGATCTTCCTGATTTTTGCCTCCTGAGTAGCTATGATTACAGGTGTGAGCCAATGGGACCTGGCTGGTTGGTTTTGAGGGAGGAGGGTCGTAGGGTGGGTGAGAAGCAAGCTGACCCTTGGAATGGTGACATCACAAAGACTGCTCACAATGCCTCAGAACACTTGGGGTACTGGACTACTGTCCCTAACTCAAGTCTAGATTCCCGAACCCTCTGCACATGTAGTTCCTGGAACTGCTGTTTTAAAATGTCACCACCTCCACCTTTACCTTCTACCTGGGACAACCTGTTAGATTCTCTCTCTCTCGGCACAATATGGAATTGGCTACAAGCAACTTTTCTGGGGGAGAGTAATGTGTCTCAGCAAACAAATTTGGGGATACTAGATAATCTTGGCCCAGCTGTGCAAGTCATCTTGGGGATTTCCTTTTTGATTTTGTTGGCAATAGGATTATTTGCCTTATGGAAACGAAGCGTTCGGTCAATTCAGGTTGTACTCTTTTGTTACAGAGAAACTTAAATAGTTATAAATTGAATTTTTGGTGTTTTGAGAAAGGTCTTGCTTTGTAGCCCAGGCTGGCCTCAAACTCTCACTTTTCCTGCCTTAGCTTCCCAAGTGCAGGAATTACAAATGTGCACCACAATGCCCGGCTATAAATTGCATTTTCATCGGTTCTCTCCCATATTGCTGCCACCCAGTTTTAAGACCACGCAGATTAGCAAGGATGAACAATTGTCTCTTACATTAGTTGAAACCAGATTATCCTTGAAAACCTCCCTCCATCAACTTGGTTTTGAGTATAAAAATGCTCTTTCTAACAATGGTCTGGCTTGTGTGCTCTCATAAAATAGATCAAATAAGTTCATAACCTGAGAAGAGAGTCTTATCCCAAACTCTTTGAGTGCCCACTGTGTTTGCAGAATAGGCACAATTATATAACCAGGATCTTGGGTGTGGCTTTCTGTTTCTGTTCTTACTGTGTCGTTTCTCTTTAACTGATAAGGAAGCTTACAGATTTATTATGTCATATTTTCATTGTTATGTTTTAACAAGGTAAGCCTCCATAAAACATGCAAGGGCTCTTTGGGGGAATAAAAATTTGGCTGGGATTGTGAGAAACACATACTTCTATTTAATCATCAATAATAACATAGTCAAAGTGTTTTGGGGAATCCCAGTAATTCCACAAAATGAATAGAGGTTATTTTTACATGAGAACAAGGAAAACGAGGTGCATTGAGTTTTGGTAGAAATTTAAGGAAACAGGAATTAGAGGGCTTTCTTAAACTTATTTGGTAAGTACAGAGAGATGTTCTTACTGGATCATTTGTAGCATTCTCTTGTTTTCATACTATTGCTGTTTAGGAATCATGGCCACATTCACTTTTACTTTAACCTCTCAAAAGCCTTCATAACAGGCAGGGCAGGCATTGTCATCTTCATTCTGGAGGGGAGGTACGTTGGTTATCACCAGTCCAAGTTCACGTAGATTTAACAAAGCTGGCAAAGCTGGGATTTGAACCCAATTTTTAAGATTCCAAATTTAGTTCTTCTCCAAAATCTCATTTATTATAATCCAACTGACCTAAATCAACAGGAGTGTGTGTATGTGTGTGTGCACATACATATATACACACCTTTCAATTAGCTAATAGGAGAATGCAAGGTAAGAAAATAGACCCTTTTTAATCCTAGGTTTAACATAGTCAGAAATATGAGCTTGCAGCCCTTTGAACACCTCAACCAAAAACAGGGAGAGCAGTATAACAGAGTGCTAACAGTGTGGAGTCAGACTGCTTGAGGGCTTAAATTTGTGTTCAACCATTTGCTCAATGAGCTGAGAGCAATCACTTAAACTCTACACTCGTTTCCCAATCTATAAGATTGCCTGCTAGCAGTGTTTCCCTCTTAGGGTTGTTGTGAGGACTAAATGATATAGTGTATGTATAGAACTTAGCCCATACACGATCAATAAGCAGTGCTAGGAAGTATAAGGAAAAAGATTGCTGGGTTTGTTCTTATCCCAGCAGGAATCTGCTAGCATATTAAACTGTTTTTTTCATGACCAGGAAATCTAGATTTTCAGACCATTCTATATGGAAAGAATTCCTGGATCCCAATCCTGATTCTCTTATTTCCAATATATAACCTTGGACAGTGACAGTCCAAATTGGACTATCACTAGATAGATAAATAAACATAGATCTATCCAAATCTATGTTTTCTGCAAAACTAAGTCATGAATAGGCAAAGTAACTTCTAGTACAGGGCCAGAATGGATAGACTTTTAGCAAATGGTATTTATTATTATACTTTTTATTAATTAAGTGAAAATAATGGGCTTGGGGCATGGTTCAAATGGTAGAGTGCCTGCCTAGCAAGTGTGAAGCCCTGAGTTCAAACCTCAGTAATGCAAAAAAAAAATTCCTGAAAAATCCCTGGCCTTCCTACCACCCAGCTTCTGTTGATAAGCACAAGACTAAATGTTTGTGAAAATGTTAAAGTAAAGGCATGGCATAGGACTAAGAGATTATTGTTAGTAGTAGATCTTTGTTTTATTCTGCATCTATATAAATGTGGCATTTCACATGAGCAAACAAGTAACATTCAACTTCTCTTGTTTTGTTTTAGAAAATAATGTTATTTGTGATCACACTCTACCAACTTTACAAGAAGGGTTCAGAGTTTTTTCAAGCTGTGCTAGCCAACCCAGAAGGAAGTGGTCACCAGACTCAAGACGGTACCAATGTCTTCCTGTCCTTGGGTCTGCAAGGGAAAATTCTGAAAAAACTTCAGATGGTGGAAAACAAAGTGAAGGACCTGGAGGGTATGATCGTTACCCAAAAACCTACCACAAGGAGGGATGGCTCCCCTGAGCCCTACTGCAGCTGCTCTGACTGTCAGAGTCCCTTACCCACATCAGGGTTTACTTCCACATCTGAAATGTGAAGGATTCTAATCGTTTCCAGAAAAGCACTGCTTCCCTCATGCATGCAGTGGTATGTCAATAAAGATAGAGAACTATATTGAAATTACCCTGAAAAGGCTGGCTAGCTCTATTCAGTGGGGCCCAGCTTCTCTTTGTGGGTGCAGTGGAGTAACGGGTAGTGGTAGTTAAAAATGTTTCTCAGTCATAGAGCACCTGCCTAGTGCACAGAAGACCCTGGGTTGGATCCCCAGCACTACACACACACACACACGTCTCTGGGATTGTGGTGATTACTCAGCAGGCTGGAGACCTTATGGTAAATCAGACCAGTTACAGGAGGGATAGGCAAACTGAAATGGAAGGAAGTGGGAAAAGAAGGAAGGGTGGTCTAGACTACAGCCTTGAGGTCTATGCTGAAGAGGTGGAAATGGACATAAAAGGGCCATGCTCTGGACTGTCCTGTAGAGGTTGGCTGTCCTGTGCCGATCTGTGACATACAAACGGCAGCCAGGCTTTTCTGAAAATAATACTGAAAGGTGTTCCAAGCGGTGAGAGTAGATATAAAAGAAGTGTTTAATTTTAGCCAAACTTTGGTGATACCTACTCTGTGTTTAAGCTTGCAGTCCAGCCCTGAGGGATTTGTTCCTGAGTGTGGCAGGGAGCACTCGGTGTAGCTGAGTGGGATAGGATATGTCAGAACAGAATATGGTACAGTGTGGTTAACTATGGTGAGTTCTTTTCTTTTTTTGTGTACTAGGCATGAACTTCAAGCCTACCCCTCAAGGGCCACTCCACCAGCCCTTTTTTTGTTGTTGTTTATTATTCATTATGTGCATACAATGCTTGGGTCATTTCTCCCCCCTGCCCCCACCCCCTCCCTTACCACCCACTCCCCCTCCCTCTCCCCCCACCCCTATACCTGGCAGAAACTATTTTGCCCTTATCTCTAATTTTGTTGAAGAGAGAGTATAAGCAATAATAGGAAGGAACAAGGGTTTTGCTAGTTGAGATAAGGATAGCTATACAGGGAGTTGACTCACATTAATTTCCTGTGCATGTGTGTTACCTTCTAGGTTAATTCTTTGATCTAACCTTTTCTCTAGTTCCTGGTCCCCTTCTCCTATTGGCCTCAGTTGCTTTTAAGGTATCTGCTTTAGTTTCTCTGTGTTGAGGGCAACAAATGCTGCTATTTTTTAGGTGTCTTACCTATCCTCATACCTCCCTTGTGTGCTCTCGTTTTATCATGTGATCAAAGTCCAATCCCTTGTTGTGTTTGCCCTTGATCTAATGTCCACATATGAGGGAGAACATACGATTTTTGGTCTTTTGGGCCCAGGCTAACCTCACTCAGAATGATGTTCTCCAATTCCATCCATTTACCAGCGAATGATAACATTTCATTTTCTTCATGGCTGCATAAAATTCCATTGTGTATAGATACCACATTTTCTTAATCCATTCGTCAGTAGTGGGGCATCTTGGCTGTTTCCATAACTTGGCTATTGTGAATAGTGCGCAATAAACATGGGTGTGCAGGTGCCTCTGGAGTAACCATGTGTCACAGTCTTTGGGTATATCCCCAAGAGTGGTATTGCTGGATCAAATGGTAGATCAATTTAGCTTTTTAAGTAGCCTCCAAAATTTTTTTCCAGAGTGGTTGTACTAGTTTACATTCCCACCAGCAGTGTAGGAGGGTTCCTTTTTCCCCATTCATGCTCGCCAACACCTGTTGTTGGTGGTGTTGCTAATGATGGCTATTCTAACAGGGGTGAGGTGGAATCTTAGTGTTGGTTTTTTTAATTTGCATTTCCTTTATTTGCTAGAGATGGTGAGCATTTTTTCATGTGTTTTTTGGCCATTTGAATTTCTTCTTTTGAGAAAGTTCTGTTTAGTTCACTTGCCCATTCTTTATGGTTCATTAGTTTTGGGAAAATTTAGTTTTTTAAGTTCCTATATATTCGTTATCAGTCCTTTGTCTGATGTGTAGCTGGCAAATATTTTCTCCCACTCTGTGGGTGTTCTCTTCAGTTTAGAGACCATTTCTTTTGATGAACAGAAGCTTTTTAGTTTTATGAGTCCATTTATCTATGCTATCTCTTAGTTGCTGTGCTGCTGGGGTTTCGTTGAGAAAGTTCTTACCTATACCTACTAACTCCAGAGTATTTCCTACTCTTTCTGTATCAACTTTAGAGTTTGTGTTGATATTAAGATCCTGATCCATTTTGAGTTAATCTTGGTATAGGTGATATACATGGATCTAGTTTCAGTTTTTTGCAGACTGCTAACCAGTTTTCCCAGCAGTTTTTGTTGAAGAGGCTGCTATTTCTCCATTCGTATATTTTTTTAGCTCCTTTGTCAAAGACAAGTTGGTTTATAGTTGTGTGGCTTCATATCTGGGTCCTCTATTCTGTTCCACTGGTCTTCATGTCTGTTTTTGTGCCAGTACCATGCTGTTTTTATCGTTATTGCTTTGTAATATAGTTTGAAGTCAGGTATTGTGATACTCCAGCATTGTTCTTTTGACTGAGTATTGCCTGGCTATTCGTGGCCTCTTGTGTTTCCATATAAATTTCACAGTAGATTTTTCAATCTCTTTAATGAATGTCATTAGAATTTTGATGGGAATTGCATTAAACATGTAGATTACTTTGGGAGTATAGACATTTTACTATGTTGATTCTACCAATCCATGAGCATGGGAGATTCTCCACTTTCTATAGTCTTCCTCAATCTCTTTTCTTCAGAAGTTTATAGTTTTCCTTGTAAAGGTTCTTTCACATCTTTTGTTAGGTTACACCTAGGTATTTGATTTTTTTTGAGGCTATTGTAAATGGAATTGTTTTCATACATTCTTTTTCAGTTTGTTCATTATTAGTGTATAGAAATGCTAATGATTTTTCTATGTTGATTTTATATCCTATTGATGGTATCTAGAAGCTTCTGAGTAGAAGTTTTTTGGGTCTTTTAAGGTATAGGATCATGTCATCTGCAAAATAGGGATATTTTGACAGTTTCTTACCTATTTATATTCCTTTTTATTCCTTCTTCTTGCCTAATTGCTCTTGGCTAGAATTCCTGTACTATGTTGAATAGAGTGGAGATAGTGGGCATCCTTGTCTCGTTCCTTGATTTTAGAGGGAATGGTTCAGTTTTTCTCCATTAAGTATAATGCGGCTGTAGGTTTGTCATATATAGCTTTTATAATGTTGAGGTACTTTTCCTTCTATTCCTAGTTTTCTTAGAGCTTTTATCATGAATGTGTTGGATCTTATCAAAGGCTTTTTCTGCATCTATTGAGATGATCAAGTGTTTTTGTCTTTGCTTCTGTTAATGTGGTTTATTACGTTTATTGATTTTTGTATGTTGAACCACCCCTGCATCCCTGGGATGAAGCCTACTTGGTCGTGGTGAATGATCTTTTTTGATGTGTTGTTGAATTCGGTTTGCCATTATTTTTGTTGAGGATTTTTGCATCAATGTTCATTAAGGAGATTGGCCATAGTTTTCCTTTTTTGGAGGTGTCTTTGCCTGGTTTTGGGATAAGTGTAATACTGGCTTCATAAAATGTGTTTAGGCAGTTTTCCTTCCCTTTCTATTTCGTGGAACAAGTTTAAGGAGGTTGGTATCAGTTCTTCTTTAAAGGTCTGATAGAATTCAGCAGAGAATCCATCAGGTCCTGGACTTTTTCTTTTGGGGAGACTCTTGATTGCTGCTTCAATTTCATTTGTGTTATAGGATCTAGTCAGGTGATTAATTTCCTCTTGTTCAGTTTTGGATGATTCATATGTATTAGAAATCTGTCCATTTCTTTAAGATTTTCAAATTTATTTGAATATAGGTTTCGAAGTAGTTTCTGATAATTTCCTGGACTTCCATGGTGTTTGTTGTTATCTCCCCTTTTGCATTCCTGATTTCTACTCATTTGGGTTTTTTCTTCTCCTCATTTTAGTCAGGTTTGCCAGGGGTCTGTCGATCTTGTTTATTTTTTCAAGACCAACTTTTGTTTCATTTAATCTTTGTATTGGTTTTTTTTGGTTTCTATTTCATTGATTTCAGCTCTTAGTTTTATTATTTCTCTCCCTATCTGTTTTGGGATTTGCTTGTTGTTGTTTTCTAGGAGTTTGAGATGTATCATTAGGTCATTGATTTTGGGATCTTTCAAGTCTTTTTAATATATGCACTCATGGCTATAACTTTCCTCTCAGGACTGCCTTTGCTGTGTCCCATAGTTCCGGCTAGGTTGTGTTTTCATTTTCATTGACTTCCAGGAACTTTTTAATTTCCTCTTTATTTCATCAGTATCCTGTTCATTAAGTAATCAGTTACTTAGTTTTCCAGCTATTTGCATGTTTTTTGTCTTTTACTTTTGTTGTTGAGTTCTACTTTTTACTGCATTGTGATCAGATAGTATGCCACAGAATAATTCTGGTTTTCTCATATTATTTGCTGACGCTTGCTTTGCTGCCTTAGGATATGATCTATTTTGGAGAATGTTCCATGGCACCAGCCCTTTTTCGTGATGGTTTTTTGAAGATAGGGTCTCAATGAACTATTTGCCCAGGCTGGCTTTGAATCTCAGTCCTCCTGATCTTTGCCTCTGAAAGGATGTGCCCTTTGCCCCAGCAGATCCCCATAGCAGAAACCAGTAAAGCCAGCACAGGATGCCCCATGCAGGATAAGATAAACAGGATGGGGGCAGGTGGAATGTGAGGAATGTGAGGAATGTGAGCGGTTTGCGAAAGATGACTAGAAGGGTGCCCTGCCTGCTTGCTAAATGTAACCTTGTGCGCGAATACTGACCCTTGAATCTATAGGCTAAGAAGTAATGTACTCTTAAATGGATAGGCTGGAAATGTATGTGGTGTTACAAACTCATTGGCTATGTACTGTGCGGGCTTTTGCTGTAACGGCCGGTAGGGGCCTATATAAGATCTTCCCTAAAGAGGCTCGGGGTCTTGTCTGCCCAATCGGACCTGTGTGTCTGTGTGGGAGCTTGACCCTGGCTTGCCAGCTCAATAAACTCTGCTTTGTTGATTGCATTCACGCGTGACTCTCTGTCTCTCGGAGGAATAGGATTCTCGGACCCTAACATTTGGAGGTCCCACCGAGATCCCTTTTTCGAGAAGGCAGACCGTCCACAAGAAAGCAGAGGTGATTCCAAGTCCTAGGCATTGGGAGAGTCTGAGATTCTCATTTGGAGGGAACTAATTGGTAGATGATTGTTCCCGTTTGGGCCGCAGCGGGTATTTGGCCAATCCCCGGGGAGAATCATTCTGGGATTCTCGTTAGGGGGACCACAAGGTCCTGCTGGGAGAGGATTTCCTCTCATTTGGGCTCGAGCATTTCAGGAATCCTGGTGCCAGGTGAAGAACTAATTGAACTAGTTGACTGACCACCCGTCAAGTGGACGCCTTTTGGCCTGATATCCAAATTGGACGGTGAGAGATTGAATGGGGTGCGCACCAGCGTGAGAGAAGGACCGGTCCAAGCGAGTGGTGGAGAGTGTTCTGTGTGTGTGGAGTTATTGTTGCTTTCACCCTTTTTGTTCTATCTCTCCTGGTGGTTGCTTCTCATTCCACAATGGGACAGGGACAAACAACCCCAAAGTCTTTGATTCTCTCTCACTTTCCAGAAGTCAGAAAAAGGGCATTAAATGGGTCTGGTCATTAAGAAAGGTAAGTTCGACACCCTTTGTTCTGCAGAATGGCCCACCTTCGGAGTCGGATGGCCCATTCAAGGTTCCCTCTCCCTAGACCTGATCACTAAGGTCAAGGCTGTCGTTTTCCGACCAGGCAATCAAGGCCACCCAGATCAGGTCCCCTACATTTTGGTTTGGGAAGATTTAGTGGGGAACCCCCCCTTGGTTAACAGCTTTTCTGACTCACCCCTCCAGTTCGGCTCCGGGGCTAAAACCCCAGTACGCCTGCCTTGGTCATAAAAGAGGAAGAGAAACCTCCCCTTCCCTCCCTGACCAGTCCTCAAAATAGGACACCCTCTTTACCACCCCGGTCTTACCGGAGAGTTCCCCCCTTTACCCATCCCTCGCGGGGTAGAGGAAGATCGGCCGCCCCATACGTGACTCCCCTGGTCAGGCCAGTGCTCCGGAGGAGGAAATTTCCTCATCCTCCTCAACAGGACGACAGCGGAGGAGGAATGGGTCGAAGACTCGCCCCCGAGGGGTACGGGAAAGGGAGGGAGAAGACGGGCCCTACTCATCAACACATGGGGAGGAAACTGTCCCCACATTTCCAGTCCGGACGGTAGGCCAAGGAGGACCGGGAGGGGGGCAACAGTTTCAGTACTGGCCCTTCTCCTCCAGTGATCTATATAACTGGAGGACGCAGAACCCACCCTTTTCAGAAGACCCTAAGTGTCTCATAGATCTCCTGGAGTCCTCATGCATACACACCGCCCCACATGGGACTGACTGTCACCAGCTGCTCAATACTCTTTTTACGACGGAGGAGCGGGAGCGCATCCTCCACGAAGCTAGAAAGAACGTCTTGGGGACAACGGGAGACCCACAACCCTCCAACCGGCCATAGACGAGGCCTTCCCCTACGCCGCCCTGATTGGGATTTCGGGACCGCAGAAGGTAGGGAGCGTCTCCAAATCTACCGCCAGACTCTTATGGCAGGTCTCCGAGCGGCCGCTAGGAGGCCCACCAACTTTGCAAAGGTAAAGGCAGTTGTCCAAGGGGAAAATGAAAGGCCGGCCGGTTTCTTAGAGCACCTCTATGAGGCATACCGTCAGTACACCCCTATTGACCCCCGAGGCGGAGATCCACCGGTCTGCTGTGGTATTCTCATTCATTAATCAGGCAGCTCCAGACATTAGGAGAAAACTCAATAAACAGGAAAACTTAGGGGAGATAACCATTAGGGAAATGTTACAGATAGCGGAGAAGGTCTTTACCGCAAGGGAAACTCCAGAAGAAAGGGAGGAAAGGCGGAGAAAGGAAGACAGGGAGGCCCAGGAGAAATTGAGAAAGGAGGACAGGGAGTTCCAGGCTAAGGAGAACCAAAAGCAACAAAGAGAAATGGCCTGTATTTTCCTAGCGGGTGTCCGGGACCAACCCAAGGAAGGGGGCCACGCCAGGACCCCGGATAAGGAACACTGTTTTTAACTGTAAGGAGACTGGGCATTGGAAGAGAGAGTGCCCTAAGTTAAAGGGAAGAAGAGGGTTTTTTTTTTTTAAGGAGAAGAGCTGTGAATATATTTGCTCAAAGTTATAAAACAACAACAATCAGTTCTAACTTAAACTATTTACAGTGGGATAGGACACATACAGTTGAAGCTATACAACAGAAAGAGGAAAGCCACCGCTAACACCCTGGGCTGAGGGTAGGATGGGCACCAGCCTTGGCATTAGCAGCAAGAGACGCAGCTGGGGGCAGGGGTGGAAAGATGTCTGCTGCTGATGGCCCAAGGCCTTTGCTACTCTGTCAGCTGCTGCTAAGTCAAGGCAGAGAAGACAGAGTAGAAGTCTAGAAGCCAGGAGCTCCCTTTCCTTATAGCAGAAGAACCAGTTGCCAAGTGTGCATTGGTTCACCTCCTTTCTGGGCCTCTGCTGATAATCTGGTCAGGCTCTGCTCTGTGGCAGTGTTCCTCAGCCAGGAGCTCTGAAATTGATCACCAAAGAAGCCAGCCACCCACTTGCCCCAGAGACAGACAAATACTGTGGATGAAAAACTCTTTCCAGCGAAGTGCCTTCCAAGCAGGAATCAGAATATGATGCGTTTCCCATCAGCTGGGTTCTGCTCCATGGGGCAGTAGGGAAACTTCAGCTTCCCCCCATTAATCAGCTTGTTGAGTGCATCTCGAGAAATGACGTGGCCGCAGATGAACTTGATGGGAGGGTTGGAATCTGAAGTCTGCTGGCGGAGGATGGGGCAAGCGAACACTGAGTGGTACCAGCACTTCATGCCTAGTTCAATTTCAATCGGCAGCTTGTCCTTGTGACTCCAGACCCCAGTGCACTGCCTCTGCTCAATCACAGCTTTGATGTTCATCAGCACAGGCAGTGCCACACAACCAGAAGCAAAGCTGACACTGAGAGGGGACTCCACTGAAAGTCCCAGCAGAGAACAAGCATCACGAGTAAAGGTCTCACAGATCTCTGCCCAGTGGCTGTTGTCCAGGAGGTGGCAGTAGGGTGACTTCTCCAAGCCCAGCCGCAGGTATCCCAGGCTGCCCATCATCACCTGGATCTCCCGCTGATGCAGATGAGCAAAGGGCTGGAAGTGCCGGGCATAGCTGAGGGCCTCCAGCTGCTTTTCAGGGCCACCTGCTAGGAGGCGGATGAAGTGCAGGCGGTGCAGCTTGAACTCAAGGGAGCTATTGAGCTCTAGCAGGCGCTGCCGGTGGGAGACAGCCCATTCCAGTGCAGGCCCCAAGTCTTGTTCATGCAGCGCTTCCAAGATCCGATTCAACTCCAAGAAGGGCTGCTTGAAATCCAAGTCCACATTCAGTGTTGATTCCTGACACAGCTCTTTGGCAACGCTGAGCATGCCCTGCTGGTAGAGGTGCTCTACAATAGCCATCTGCAAAATCTGCTGCTGCTTCTCCCGAGAGTCCCACACTGCATCCGAGACTACACTGCAAATCTCAGAGTCAAAGTTCCTGTCAATAGCTTTCCCTACTCGAGACACACTGCTATGAATGTCCTTGTGGTCTGAAGCCAGTTTCTGGACAGTGTCTTTGATCTTCCGGCAGCACTGGGACATCACCAGGGAAAGAGTGGCTGAGAGAGGGGTCCCCTGGAGAGCTGAACTGGCCAGCTCAGCCCGCAGCTGGCCCACGTAGTGCAGCAGCTCCTCAAGGCTCTGCTCGCAGTGCTGCCCATAGGTCAGGAACTTCTGCAGCACCTTGTCCAGCTCTCTCTCCACGCACGCACACTGCTCCATGGTGGCCTCTGCCGGCAGCTGGTTACCTCCGACCCAGTCGGGTCGCACTAGGACGGGACATCAGGATTCGACCGACTCCTCCAACTGCGGCAGCTCTTGGAGGGTGGGGCCGAGTCCTCCCGGTCTGTGGGACGCCAGCTCACGGGCGGGGGCCGACGGCTGCAAAGAGAACAAGTCCAAGGCAGATTGGTTCAGGACGAAGTTGGGGGGCTTCCGGAGAAGGCCAGGGCCTGGGCGGCTGGCCGCAGCAGCAACGGCGCCCCTCGCCTAGGCCAGCCGGCCGCCCCGCCCTCTGCCAGCACCTTCAGGCTCAGGACCCGCTAGCTCTAACAGGGTGCTGGCCAAGAAGAGGGTTTGGCAGGAGACCGGGAGGTAACAGGGAAAGGGAACGAGCAGTGGAGCAGGCCAGAGTCCTTCTAGCCGGAGAAGAGGACTGAGGGAGACGGGGCTCGGACCCCCTCCCCGAGTCTTGGGTAACTGTATGTGTGGAGGGGAAGCCGATGGGGTTCATGGTGGATACCGGCGCCCAGTATTCGGTCTTAAACAAGGCATGTGGACCTTTAAACAAGGAATGAACAAGTGTCGTTCAGGGGGCCACGGGTACACAGTTATGCTCATGGACTACCAAAAGAAAGGTAGACTTAGGAAAACACCAGGTCACACACTCCTTCCTGGTCGTCCCTGAGAGCCCCGCTCCATTGCTTGGACGAGACCTGCTCACCAAAGTAGGGGCCTGTATCTATTTTGAACCAGATGAAATAATTGTGACTGATTGGGAGGGGAGCTTGATACACGTCCTGTCCCTATCATTGGCTGACAAATATCGACTGTTTGAGAGCTGACAGGAGCCAGGAGGGGACATAGCCCAATGGCTAAAAAGGTTTCCCACGGCCTGGGCAGAGACTGCGGGAATTGGCCTCGCCAAACACCTCCCTCCCGTAGTTATACAATTGAAGGCTTCCGCTCTTCCCATTCGGGTAAAACAGTATCCTATGCCCAAAGAGGCTCGAAGAGGCATAGCCCCTCATATCCGCAGGCGAATGAAGGAGTACTGCGGCCTTGTCGGTCCGCCTGGAATACTCCTCTGCTCCCTGTCCAAAAGCCGGGAAGCGGGGACTATAGGCCTGTGCAAGACCTGCGAAAGGTAAATGAGCGGGCGGAGGACATTCATCCCACTGTACCGAATCCCTATACCTTGTTCAGTCACCTACCGCCCTCACAAGTATGGTATACAACCCTTGATTTGAAAGATGCTTTCTTCAGCATTCCATTGTCAGAAATCAGCCAGCCGCTATTTGCATTCGAATGGCAAGAGGATGGGGGCCGGACCGGACAGCTCACTTGGACCAGACTGCCACAAGGATTTAAAAATTCTCCCACCCTGTTTAACGAGGCCCTGAGCCAGGACCTGGAGCCCTTTTGCCAGAGTCACCCACGAGTCACTCTACTACAGTACGTTGATGACTTACTGTTAGCGGCAGAAACCTAGGAGGAGTGCAGCGAGGCTACTGAACACCTGCTAGCGGAGTTAGATGAGCTGGGATATCGGGCGAGTGCCAAGAAGACCCACATCTGTGAAAGGTCAGTGACATATCTGGGTTATCAGATCACAGATGGGGCAAGATGGCTGACTGATGCCATGAAACAGACTATTTTGACTATTCCACCCCCCACATCCACTAGGGGAGTGAGAGAGTTGTTGGGCTCCGCAGGGTTCTGTAGACTCTGGATTCCGGGATTTGCGGAGATAGCCAGACCCCTATATGAGGCCACCAAAGAGGCTCCGGATTGGAGGTGGGGAGAGGAACAACAGCGGGCCTTTGACCAGCTAAAGGCCGCCCTTCTCCATGCCCCTGCCTTGACCCTACCAGACCCCACAAAATCGTTCACTCTGTTTGTGGATGAAAAAAAGGGGGTAGCCAAAGGAGTCCTGGCCCAACAGTTAGGTCCCTGGAAGAGACCCGTGGCATATCTTTCCAAGAAATTAGACGCAGTAGCATCAGGATGGCCCCCCTGCCTCTGCATCATAGCGGCTGTTGCCATGTTAGTGAGAGAAGCAGACAAATTAACCTTTGGACAGGCCCTCCGGGTCACGGCCCCTCACCTGGTGGAGGGAGTCCTTAAACAACCCCTTGGGAAATAGATGATGAATGCCAGGCTCACCCACTACCAGGGGCTCCTGCTGGATTCCCCTCGGATCACCTTCGCAGATCCCGTAACTCTGAACCCTGCCACCCTGTTGCCCAACCTCCTCAAAGTAAAAATATACTCACTGAATCTTACAATACCACCACTTTTGGTTTGCATGGCAGATTATACTTTACAAGTTACTTTATTGCTACCATTTCATTTAAACTCCTCTGAGACATCAATTATGCTCACCTGACTGAGGAAGTCGTTCTGGAGAAGGTGGGAAATGCCTACAGAAAGATCTTCATGCCGGGCTGCAGCAACTGAATTAGTAAACTGCCAACCACAGAATAAAATCCAAGCACAATCAAATGAAGCATCAAAAGACCTTAACAACCTGGCAGATAAAACCTCCCCCGACCCCCAGTTTTTGCCAAACTCCAGGCTCCAGTAATTCACTGAACAATACAGATAGGCCCTCTTGCCTCCACATCTTTGCTCTTGCTGTTTACTGTAGTTGGAACATTATAAAACATCATTGCCTGAATGTGCTACAAACATCTCAAACTAAGCATTTCTAAAATCCATTTTCTTCCCATGCCACCTCCCTAACCTGTCTCCTTACCCAAATTACCTTTCATATTCCCTATCTGAATGGTACCACCCATTTCCCTTGGCCAGAAAAACCAGGAGATAATCCAGAATACTACATTTTGGTTTTGTTTCCTTGTGGTGCTGAGAATTGAACCCAGGACCTGGTGCATACTAGCCAAGCACTCTACCACTGAATTGTATCCTGAGCCCTACTCCTATTTCTTCATTCTCTAAATAATCAGCCTCCAATTCCTACAATTCCATCTTCTCAATGTTGCTCAAACACAATCCCTCCTAGTCATTTCCACTTCTTAGTTCAGGCCATGACTACAGCAACAGCTTCCAAACAAGGCTGTTTCTCACTCTGATAAGTGGGAAAATCCTTCAAAGCATTCGCAATGATTCCAGGGCAAAATTCATATTCCTTAGCATGCCTTCAAGGTCCCTATATTTGACACTTTTCATTTCCACCAGTCTTCCCAACGGTCTCTATGTCCTTGCACCTCTAGTACTCTTTACCTGGAAATCGCATAGCAGAAGGGAAAGGCTTAAAAAACCTGGCTGAAGACCAGCGTCTATTAGTAGCAGTGGAAAAACCGAAGGCAGTGGCAGTGATGTATGTCCCAGGCCATCAGTCTGCCAAGACTCCAGAAGCTTCGGTAACAACAGGGCGGATCAAGAAGCTAGGAGAGCAGCAATGGTGAGTCCCTCCATGGTCGCGGCTATAGATGTGCCTGTCCCCGAGCTCCCTTCGCTACCTCCCCGACCAGAGTACTCCTCGGAGGATTTCACTTCGATGAGAGCCCACTCCCTCACTAGAAAAAGGGAGGATGAATGGAGAAGTGACTTGGAAGGCAAGCTAATCCTGCCTGAGAAACTCGGCCGATTCCTGTTAGCTAACTTACATAAGTCCACCCACTTGGGGCGGAGAAAGTTGCTAGACTTGCTGACATCTGCACAACTCCGATTTCCGAACCAGACCGAGGCCATCCGTCAAATTGTGGAGGATTGTGCTACCTGTACAGCTATGAAACCAGGACGAAGGGAGGGGCACCACACAGGTATTCGGGAACAGGGGAGGGCCCCGGAAAGAAACTGGGAAGTGGATTTTACCGAAGTAAAACCAGGGAAGTTTGGGTACAAATATTTGCTAGTGTTCATAGATACCTTTTCCGGCTGGGTGGAGGTATTTCCTACAAAGAGGGAGACGAGTCAGGTAGTGGCAAAAGCCCTACTAGAGGAAATCATACCCAGGTACAGGGTGCCTGAGGCAATTGGGTCAGATAACGGTCCGGCTTTCATTAGTAAAGTCCTGCAGGGACTAGCCCAGGCTATGGGGGCCAATTGGAAACTACATTGTAAATATAACCCCCAGAGCTCAGGGCAAGTAGAAAGGATGCATAGGACACTAAAGGAGACTTTAGCCAAATTGGCCCTGTAGACTGGTGGTGATTGGGTGACACTCCTTCCCTTGGCCATCTTCCGAGTCCGGAACTCCCCTTATGTCCATGGGCTAACCCCCTTTGAGATCCTGTATGGGGCTCCACCCCCCATCATTCAAAGGACCTTAAGCCCGGGACTAGGTGATCTGGCACCAAATTACCTGACTATGCTACAGGCTGTAGCTAAGGTGCAACAACAAATATGGCCCTTAATTCAAGCGTACCATACTACTGATCACCGGAACATGGCATAGTCCCGGGTGACATGGTATGGGTTAAAAGGCATCAGTCCAAAACCCTAGAGCCTAGATGGAAAGGACCTTATGTTGTACTGCTTACTACCCCCACCGCCCTCAAGGTCGATGGAATTGCACCATGGGTACACCACTCCCATGTGAGACGGGCACGTCCTCAGGAGGAGCAGGGAAATTGGACCGCACGACAGCATCCCACAAATCCACTCAAGCTCCGGCTGATACGGGATGCTCCAGAAAACGAAAACACCCAGATGCTCCGCAGCCCTCCTAGAATGGGATCATCACCTGGGTCCACTACACCCACATCAGACCGGCGGACCCGGTAGCTGTGAAGGAAGACTTCCTGCCAACAAGAAGGGTGTCCCACCACAAGGACAATTCCTTCAAACTCAAACTTCAGCAAACTGGACCTCGGTAACCTTATTCCTTTTTCTAACCCTGTCCACCACTTGCTTGGGGCATACAAATCCACATCAACCTTTTAATCTGACCTGGATGATTGTAGCTGTATCCACAGGAGACATTCTTAACCAGACCTCCAAGGTGACCCCTCCCAGCACCTGGTTCCCAGAATTATACTTTGACTTAAGGGACTTATTCACTGGCAGGGGACAATGGGATTTGCGCCAAAGTTACTTCTATGTCTGCCCCGCTCCCCAACCCAACCACAGAAAAAAATGTGGAGGAATCGCAGACTATTATTGTAAGTCATGGGGTTGTGAGAGCTCAGGGGACATATGGTGGCCACCCCCCAAACAGGGGGGACCTTATTCAGTTAAGTAGAGTCTCTCAATCTGGTATTACATACCACCAACCTAGACCTACAAGTAAGGGATGCCCAACTCCCCCCAATTGTAATCCCATTATGATAAATTTCACTGATTTAGG